CTCCGCCGTTGCTCTGTGGCGGGAATGGATAATAAACAAATAAAGAGGGCTGAGAAAAATGTCTCAACGGTAGATAGAATAGCGTGAAACACGGTAATTAAACTCGCGGTTTTTAATGTGGTGTTGGTGTTGACGTGCGGTTTTGGATGTGTTGTTTACGTACGATAACGAGATAAACAGCGTTTCTATTTTATGTTTCACTAAAACACCCAAAATGGGGGTTGAAATTATAAAAAAACCCAACACCCAAAACACTTTATAAACACACCCAAAATCCATCATTACACACACTCAAAACCCATTTATAAACACACCCAAAAAATATACAATTGTTGATTGTGGGGTTGATTTTGGGTGTGTTTCTATGTTTAAATAGTGTTTGGGTTTTTTTATAAATACATGTCTAGGATTGGGTTTATTTATAAATATCTATTTATGTTTCTCTATAAAAAAAAAAAAGAATTAAAAAACAACAACATAGGACAATACTAAACATTGCTTTATTTTCTTCAGACAAAAAAAAAAAAACCATTGCTTTATTTGTTTGCAAACATGTGCTTTTACATTTGCAGTTTCTTCTGTGGTGGTCTATGAGCTTTTGTGCAGAGAAGTTCCAATGGATGATACAAAACGAAGGAGAGCATCTTTCACTTTGTCAAGGAAGTGGAAATAGGCATATCTCCAGGACTTCTTGATGACCAAAGTCCCACAAACTCCCCAGAACCCTACAAAGAAACCTATCACTATGCTGATGATGAACCCTAGCTTTTTAAATTTACTGTCATCATCATCCTCTCCATCTCCACTTGGAACTTGAGGTGCTTCTCCATTGTCGTCTTGGCAACTGGGTAATGGATACCCGCAAAGAGCGGCATTGCCCTCGTAAATTGATGGATCAACCAGGGTCTGAAACTGGTTGCCTGTTGGAATTCTCCCAGACAAGTTATTGTATGACAGGTTGAGATGATTCAAAAATGTTAAAGAAACCATGCTCTGTGGAATTGAACCTGAAAGTTTGTTTGTTGATAGATCAATAGTTTCTATCCGCTCCAAGTTTCCGATCTTTTCTGGGATATTTCCTGTCAAATGATTCATGGACAAATTCAAGGTGCCCAACTTTAAAAGTCTTGTCAGCCCCACGGGCATCTCTCCTGACAAGTTATTGTCTGAGAGATCAACACTATTAACAAGGTAAAGGATGGAGTCATATACAAGCACTCTTCCTTTTGACACCACCTCCAGTTTTCCCTGATAACTGCTTGTATCTTTGTCTGTGAACTCAGATTTGAAGCCAGTCAAATTACCTATGCACTGTGGAATTTTTCCAAAGAGATTGTTGTGTGAGAGGTCCAGTATGTGGAGATTGGAAAGGCCACATAACTGTGAAGGTATGTTTCCAGTAAACGAGTTGAGCCTCAAGCTTAAAATCAACAAAGAGAGCATGTTTTCTCCTATGGAAGCCGGAATTGGTCCAGAAAACTTGTTGTCACCAAGATCAAGACTCTTCATGTCAGTGCAGTTTCTCAAGGAAGGGACTTCACCTGAAAAATTGTTGCTAGAGAGGATCAAGAAGTTGAGTGAAGTAAGAGAGCCTAAGGACCTTGGGATTGAACCGGAGAGACTATTGTTTGACACATCTACAATATACAATAATGGTAATTTGTTCCAAAAGTGAGGAATCTGACCAGACAAGTGGTTGTTTGAGATAACCATGGTTGTTAATTGGCTCATATTACTAAGGGACAGGGGAATTCTTCCACTCAAAGAGTTCCTAGAAATGTCTAGATCTGACAGAAAGAGCATCACTTCACCAATTTTAGGAGGAATTGGTCCTGAAAACAGATTATCTCTAAGATACAACATGGTGATGTTTGATGACCAGAGTGGTAGGGGGCCCTCAAACCTGTTTGAACTCAAATCAACGGTGGAAGGATAGCTGAATCTTAATGAGTTGGGCACCCTGCCACTTAGCTTATTATAAGCGACATCTAGTTTACTCAATTCCAAATTCAACTGCCAAAACCAATCTGGTATGGTGTCTGAAATCTTAGCATTATTGAGTACCACCATGGTCAGCTCAGTCTGATTTCTGAGCCATGTAGGAAATTTGGGACCCAGTTTGCATGATCTAATGTTCAAGTATCTCAATTTGAAAGGAGGTATCCAATCAGAAGGTATGTCGAAAACTAAGGAAATGTTTGGCGAAGCTTTTTCAATTGATACATCGGTTAAGCCTCGAAGTTTCGCCAAATGAGCTTCTGTTATGACACCTTCCCATGTGTTTTCAGAGATATCTAGTGCAACCAGCGAGGAGAGCTGCCCAAGACTTTCTGGGATGATCCCACCCATTTGATTTCTTGCAAGGTAAAACTCCTCCAAAGATGTTAAGTTTCCAATCGATTTCGGGATTGAACCGTGAAATGAGTTGTCCCACAATGCGAGGTATCTTAAGCTTTTAAGGTATCCCAAAGAATCAGGCAGTTTTCCTGTCAGTCTGTTAAATCCCAAATCCAATGTCTCTAAGGTGATGTTTGTGCATGCAGACAACGTATCAATGAAATTAGTAATTTCACCAGTAATTTTGTTGATAGAAAGTCTTAGCGTCTGCAAACTGCATAGTGTTCCCAAGTTTCTTGGCAACTGACCTCCAATGTTTGAATTCTCTGATAAATCAAGCGTCTGGAGAGACGTCAAACTACCAAATGTTTCTGCAAGTTCTCCATGGAGTTTGTTGGACTTTAGGTGAAGGTGGACTAGTTTAGTCAGATTAAACATCCAGGGAGGTATCGTGGAGCTGAAATCGTTGCCAGAGAGATCAAGAACCAAAAGGGATGTGAAATTGATGGAAGGAAGAGTGAGAGGAAGGATGGAAAGTCTACAAAAGGGCAAATGCAATTCAACAAGGGAAGGGAGCATATTAACAGTAGGAAGCCAATATGATGCAGCCTTGGAAAGGTCAACTCCTTCTAAGTTAAGGTACTTTAAGGAAGAAAAAGTTGCAAGCCTTAGCCAGTGGAGATCATTCTCAACTGGTTCAAAAAGGTAATTACTGAGATCAAGATAAAGCAATCTTGAGAGGTTTCCAAAATTGGAGGGAATGATTCCACCAAACGATGCACCAGAGAGATTGAGGTATATCAGTTTCTCTAGTGATCCAATGAAACTTGGAAGTTGGACACCTCCAAAGTTATTCATGCTCAAATCCAAGTAAACCAAATCTTTCAAAACAAGCAAAGAAGAGTTGATCTCACCACCAAATGCATTCTCTGCTACTCCATCACCATCCAACCCACCTATTTTATAGCGATTGCGAAGATCGAGCCTGTTGACACGTCCAGTTATGTTGTTGCAGCCGACACCACTCCATTTGCAGCAATCTTCTCCCACCCAAGACGAAAGCCGGTCCGAAGGATCTGTAAGGCCTTGTTTGAGCTTGAGAAGGGCTTTCCTCTCTATATCCATGCATTTCACGTTATGATGATCAGCAGCACTGCAGAAACCAAGTTTAATGGTTTCAAGGTATAGAATTCCTGACAGTAAAATTAGTGAAACAAGTTGAATGGAAGCACTGCTGTGACCCATACTTGTTATGCAAGCATGCAATGGGAGGGATGATCTGCAGGAGTGAAGATATGAGTCTGCAAGATTTAAAGAGAACAAATGTCCTGTACGTAGTAGCAGGGAGGATGGAGAAAGAAAATTGAGTTTTTCTTCTCTTTGAATTTTCGAAATTATGTGCCCTCACAACAAGGGAAAGATGTGACTCAGATTTATACCAAGTCTGATAAATAAAAAAGTCAATTATTAGAAGACTCCCAAGTCAATAGTCTGAGAGAGCCTTAATATATATTTTCGACCCCATCAACACTTCAACCACGCTCGTCTAGTTGAAAAATGACTTTTAGGTTGAATGTTGCATTTCAGTCAAAGGGATATTTAAGAACCCCAATTTAGTACCCCAAGAATAATACTTGGTCTGCTCCATCTAGATGTTCAAAGAAACTATTAGACGTGGTCGTCAAAGTGGAAGAAGAGGTCCTGCTACATTTGTTTTTTTTAAAGATTCCCAAATTTTACAGATTTTACACGAGGGCATTATATTATATTAATTAAACATGAAACTGTTTATAATTTTCCTCCATCCATCACAGGAACATCATATAGGTAGAAACAGTGAACTATAGAATTTGGAAATAGCGCCAACACACACTACATAGTTCCGGTAACAAAAGATGCATAAGCCAATCTCCTTGGTGTTTCTGTATAACCATCTATTTCAAGGCCACAGGAGCGCAAATATTTTAGGATCACAATCTACAATATGCACTTATTTCTGCGATCAATCATCAGTGCCAAAGTACCGATCACCAAATTCACCCATTCCTGGAATCACACGGAATTCTTCATTCAGTGCAACATCAATCTCTGAAGTGACAATCTTTAACGATGGAAACCGTTTGGAAACACAATGGATTCCTTCAGGGGCCTAAGGCAGAGGGAAGCAATGGTAAAAAGAATCAAACAAATGTTGACATTGTACACAAAAACAATCGGTCGGCGTCGAGAGAAACTCACAGAGATAAGGTTTAAGAATATTATATGTGCTTCAGGAACTCCTTTCTGTATGAGTAGTTCAATAGCCTGGTTAGCAGAGTTACCTACAAGCCATTAACGTGGATTGTCACTTTTCACTCACCAGCAAGCAAAAGTTCAAAAGAATGCCCTTCTCAGCAGGATGGGTCAGGAATTTGATAAACCAAGCCTATTCTTGTTTTTAATTTGAAATTCTTACAGTAACTAATGTATACATGAAAAAAAAACGGAGTCCAGTGCCCAAATTATAAAAATAAAAAACGGACTCCAATTTCTAGCTAGCAAAAGCCAACATGCCCTGCCATTTTAATTTCCACATTGTGCAGTATGTCTCACAACATACTCTTTGGCGGGAATGGCATAAGACATAATAAACAAATGATGTTATCTTTCTATCACTCCTGTGCATCTTGAGCAATGAGAATAAGAAAACACTAGAGTCCAAAAGTTTTCTTCCATCACCAACTACATTTTTCTCAATATATGCGGGTACCAAAGAAGGACAACAGAACTTCAAAGGAAACCAATGGGATTACCTGTAGCAAGGACGGGGTCTAGAAGCAGGACATGGCGTTCTGAAATATCCTTGGGAAGCTTCTCGTATATAAGCTGCTTAAGTTGTAGTAACTCAGTTATACACAATTTTTATTAAGTTTGAGAGGGAGGGGTTAGCTCTTCGTAAATTTTCTCCTACTTCAAAAACAGTTATAAGGTTACCTGTTTCCCATTGTCTCCATCACGGTGAATCAGAATCTTTCCAATTTTTATTCCTTTGCAGCATGCACGTAATGCATTTTCCATGCTCTCACCACTTACATAATAAACATGGAAAGATTGTTAAGACCCGACAACCCATATTTTGCCTGCCGGATAAATAAAACTTTTAAAATCAATACCTGATTTAAAGCTCACCTTCGAACAATTGAAACCCCACACAATTTCTTGCAGAAATCAACCCCAGTATATACTGATGCTGAAATAGAATAAATACAAAATTTCAAAGACATAATATTCTTTACTTAAATAAATATTGGATCCATGTTTATGTGAGCTTCACAGTCCAATCATTCAACTAGCAACGCACCTCCCCCTCCAACGGAAAATCCAAAATCCTCCCAACCCAAAACGAACAAAGTTCTGAATTGAGTATGGAGAAGGAAAGAAGAGGGTAAAGACATGTAATCAACATACCTGTTGGAGTTACTACTTGCTTCTCTGTGAATGGCAAATGGCCAAGGCCATGCTCCACAACCTAGTGGCCACATCAAAGTATAAGAACATAAAAGCTGAACTCTGGTAGGTTAATGAAACTTGACAAAGCATGAAATGGAAAATACCAGACGAATTAGCCGATCTGAATAAAATACAAAGTCATGCTTTGATATTTCTCGGTCTCGAATCAGTGTATGCATACCTCTAATCTGTAACATGAGAAAAACTCGATTCAGGACTACAAAGAGATGAAAGTGAAGAAACAGTCATCGGATTGCAAACTGTTGGGACAACCTTTCAGGTTACAGGGTCCATCGTAATGCAAGTGACCTATATATTCAAATAAACTTGGGCCAGTCAACCATGAGATCTGATTGATCACACTTTTCAGGGCTGAAATTTAAATATTTGGTTGGAGGTGGACATAGAAGGTGCCCAGAAAAGGGGTTTGGAAAGTTCTCTCACTGATATGCCATAAGCCCAGAAACAGAAACCAAGTTGACATAACTATCTTTAGCCTTCACCTACCAGACACATACCCAACCCAACTCATCCGACGCTGCTTTGTATAATCCACAATCTCACTGTTTTCTGCACTCAGAGTTGTACAGTTATTCTAGTTACTGGCATTTAGTAGTAGAATTTTTGGGCCACAGCTCAACGAAAAACAAGACCAATAATTGAATTCAACATACAATAAATAATTTGTACTTGAGAGTCTTAGGATCAACAACCATAGCCAAGACTACCAAATTCTTAATGCCCCCAAAAGAAAGAAGGTGAAGAATATGTCTATAACACCAAATCACAAATAAAACAAAAGGCATACCTGAAATGTTGACTGAATAACATACATATTGGGATAAATTTTGCAGAGGTCATGCTGACCAAGCTTTGTGTGAATATGTTGCACAATCAAATCAATGGCTACATGATTATCACCACCACGGGGAATGATCACATCAGCATACTTCTTTGATGGGTGAACAAAATCATCAAAAGCAGGCTTGACAAACTTGGCATACTGCACAATTAAAATAATGCTACCAATGTGATTTTAAGAATTGAAACAATAAAATCTCAGCGGAATTACAAGACAATTAAACCATAAAAGAGCCACCCTATGTTCTTACTCAACTCCACAGAAAATTATGATGATTCAATTGTGGGCAAGGAGACTGTTCAAGCATGGGGTCTTACCATTTCAAGAACAGAGTTTATGTCCCTCCCCCTCTCAACTGTGTCTCGTCTTATTCTACGAGCAAGCCTTACATCAGCATCTGGACAAAAACAAGATAACAAATATTCACGGAGTGAGAGAGAGCAAATCTAAAAAAGGTTATGACCTGCTCCTCATGCACATACAGAGACTGGCCAACCCATAAAGTTGGATGGGAATAGAAGCACTCTTAAAGAACGAATGTTTGATAATAACCCATAAGCAGTTTGAGTTTATATAAATTTTTAAAAACTGAAGCCATTCTATATGGACCGGCAAAAAGTAGAATACATTATTCGCCACCCAAGTGCCTAACGCCTATGGTTTATAACAGCATAAATTGCTAATTGGCAACTGAATCTTAATAGGCAATATAAGAACACGCAACCAGCCCTGAAATTCCTTGCCTTCTCTGGATTTCTTTGATCAATATCTATTTCTATTTCTTTGTCGTAACATATACATTTGATTACAGAGGAATTGCTAGACCTATACAAGAAGGCATAATGTCCATAAATAGCACTCAAACTAACATGCCATGCAAAGCAAAACAATCATGGAAATGTAGGAAGATGAGATGACCATAAAGGAACATAACAAGACAATAAAAATAATGACAATGACAAAAAACTAGAAAGAGAAAATCAAACCTGTATCGACAAAAATCTTCATGTTCATCAGATTTCGGACACGTTGATCATGGAATACCAGAATTCCCTCCAAAATTATTACATCGGAAGCATTCACCTGAAAAAGCAGTAAACAAAATGATTAAAAGGGAAGAAAACGACAATTAGAAGTCAAAACGAACCTTGAGAAGAGTAAAAATGGTAAAAATACTAATAATAATGATAGTTAATAAAGTAATATAGGAATAATAATAATAAATAGTACAATGTTACCAGTACACTAATTCTACATGCCAAACAAGCTAGATACTCCTAACAAAAAAAAAAGGAATAAAAACACATAAATGATTTGAGTACCTGCCGGAAAGTATCAGAACTTCGTCGATGGATCTTAAAATCATAAATCGGAACTTGGACAGATTGGCCACATTTTAGCTTTTGAACGCACTCTAAAAGTTGCTCGGTGTCAAAAGCATCTACAAAATGCAAGCCATACATAATCAATAAAATTTTACAAATAATGTCCATAGGCTAAAGAAAAACCCCAACAAAACTTTATCTGTCACTCCATAACTACCAGAGTTGCACAGTACAGATAGAACAGCACACAGCCTAATTTCTTGGCAGCAGACATCAAGAATAGGAAAGTAAATTTGACTTTTTATAATAAATGATTACCAGGATGATCAAAATTATACTCATGCACCCGTTCAGATTCCTCAGGTGTCAAACCACGGTAAAATGAATCCTACGACACGGCCAAATGAAACTAATCAGAGAATTTTATTAAGCATAAAGTAAAATCAACTAATGACGGAATTTTGCAGGCAGAAAAGCAAGGTAAGCATAATGGACACCAAACCCTAACCTGATTGACAAGGACGACCCGATGATCGTGAAGCTGTTGGATGATCATGTCGCAAACCGTGGTCTTACCCGAAGCCGTACCTCCCGAAACACCTAATCAATCACCGCAACAACAATCAAATTGAAAGAAAATGTAGTTGCGGCAGAGATGTGACTGAAACAAATGCAAATTGATTGGATGTTCTGTGAAAATGTGAAGAAATACGAATGAGAGAGTTAATAGTACCAATGACGAAGGGCTGCTTGGTGGCGTTGGGGTCAGCTGGGTTTGAAGCAGCGGAAGCAGGAGAGGAAGACGATGCAGGTGGAGATGAGAGGAGGCCGTCAAGTCGGAGTCCCGAGAAGTGGGGCCCTGACGCTGCCTCCATCACGTAGTCTATGGTGGTCGTCTCCTCCGGCATGGTTTTCACTCTCACTGTCAGTCTCTGGTTGTCTGTTTCGGACTGAATTTGTTACAGCACGACACTTCAACTGCCTTCAAAAATCAAAAGAGCTCAGCGCTGGACAGAATAGACACTGCCGCTTTGTCACGATTTGTTCGGGCGCCTAAGATTCACGCTTTATTATTATTATTTTTTTGTTCTGAATCACAAGGTGGTCCTGGATGGGCCCCAACTATGGGTGACACCTTTAAACCTTAACTACAACTCAGACTAATCCCCGCTCACACCGGGTCGGCCCGTAAGGGGTAAAGTGTTGGCCAAAGTGGTGACTCCATACGAGAGCGGGAATAATTCACGCTTTATTTTTGGGTTTGTCCTTTTTCTGATATAAAATTAAATATTGTTTTGAATTTTCTGATTTTTCTTTTGGTGAAAAGAATTTTCTGATTTTGGATTGGCAAAGGAGGAATATGCCTTATCCATTTTTTATTATATTCTTTTTCGTGTGAAATTCATGCGCCAAAACGGTGACATCGCCCTAACTGTTTTTGGTTTTTATTTTTTATATAATTGATACTAGTTACTTTTGAATGTTTCATCATTCTCTGTTTTTCGCTTTATATATATATATACAATTATTCTCTTATCCGGATGTCCTCACGTTATTATCATGCGGATCCTATTGTAAACAGGCAGGAAAACAGAGAGGGATAGTACAAAATACACTGCGTCCGCACGATAATAACGTCCGGATGTCCGCATAAGAGAATTTCTGTATATATATATATATTTATATACTATTTTAATCAAATCTAACTAGCGGGTGATGAAGGGATTTGAACTCGAGTGAAGAGTGGAAAACATATATGCTTCTTTTTTTTTTCTTTTTTTTGTTGGTTGAGAATTAGCAATAGATACATTACTCCTTTTCTCTTTTTATTAAAAAAATATTACCTACACTACTTATGATTATTAATTTTTTTTGTCTCACACAAACCCCAAGCCTACCTAAATTTTTTTTTTGTCTCGCACAAAGACAGTTGTTTCAAAAATTTCAGAAATTAGTTTTTGTATTTGTAGATATAGATGCATTTGAGGGTAAGACTCATTATGTCACCCTCACTATGAAAATCTTTTTATGTTTATTAATGAAATTCACTCCTACCATCGAGTTTAGTATATAAGTTTTGCCTGATCGGCTTTCAAATCCTGGAATCGCCACTGGTTATGCCTCATCAAAAGAAAAAAAAAACAAAAACAAAATGTTGGTCATACAAAGTTGTATCTCTTTTCATAATTATGGAATGTCCAAAATTAATAACCATATTCCATGAAATCATAATTTTGTTCGGACCAAAAAGGGGGCCTTTTTTCTTGATCAAATTGTCTAAGGGAGATTAAGGTCGGATATGTGGAGAGTGGAGTTGAAACCATATAGGATATGTAATTTTTCTGCAATCAATAGAAGAAAAATTAGAAGGAAAAATCCAGCAGGAGATGAGGGTTGATTCATACCATTGTACAAAAATCAGGCCAGGGTTATATATATATATAGCAATCCCTACCACTTTTATTCTGCTCTTCCTTCAAATTTCAGTCACAACGAAATAAAACCAAAAATATCAAGTTCTGAGTTTGAATCACAAACTCAGCACTGGCTATAATTTATCTCCAAAATCCAAATAAAATGATACGTCCACGGTGGTAATAAGTAGACCCAATAGCGCAAATACCCTCAAACGAAGTTCAAAACACAGAAAGAAGAACAACGGTTGCAGATAACGCAGCAAGCACAACGAATGAAGTAATGGAATGCAGGGAAGTTGAAGCAGGAGAAGCATCAGAAGATGACGACGATGCCGATGCCGGAGAAGAAGGTGCATTTCCATCGACAGTAGTGATCTTCACCTTCATGCCTTGGCCACAGTGGCCTAAAGTGCCACAAGCAAAATATCGTGTACCAGCCTTGCTCAACTTCACCACGTCATTGCCGCTATTCTTGGAGTCTAATGCACCGCCAAGGTCACAGCTCTTGTAGGCACTCTCATTTGGTAGCTCCACCACGCTGTGCAGCCCCGAAGAGTACTTGAAAACTGTCCACCATATTAATCACATTGGTTATGGAATTATTATGCTAATCAAATCCACACTAACAATTAATTAGATTAAGAGGGTTTGTTTACTTACCAAGTTGATCGCCAACCTTGAATTTTTGGGCAGATGCCCAGGAGTTGAAGTCTGTGGACTCGTCCCAACCTTGGCTTCCTCCAACTGTGAGTTGTGCTGCGAAGCCCTTCTTTGTGATCAAACCTACAAAAACCAACACCAACAAAATTGTGTTCCTGCGCCCCATTCTGTATATTCTTATGCTCTCTCTCTCTCTCTCTCTAGACTTCTTTGCTTCTAACTCCTTTCAATGTCTGAGTCTGAGCTTTCCCATGCCTATTACAACTATATATATACAGGGGAGTTCTGTTTGGTTTATTAATATTGTTATTATTATAAATTATTAAAAACAATATTTGTAATCTTGATAACTTGGGAAGTTTCATTTTCATAAGATGAACATCAAGGACCCTCCAAATTATCAAATTGCCCCGAGAAGCAAGAGGCAGTATACCGCAACCTAGATCATGCATTTGTGTAATTCTGCAGAGAAACAGGGCTGAGTTTGTGAAATGCGATTATGTTAAGACTTGAGAGAGTTTGGTTTGTCCGCAAAGCAAAACTAGTTGGTGGGCAAAAGGTCGTGGAGGAAGCTTGGCGTTGAAACAAAGCTACCCTGGCGGTGATCATATTCACTCGAAAAGGCCAGCAGCTTGCCCTTGGGACTCAAATTTTAAATCAAAACAAATGTCAGAACCATCAGAACGGACTAAGACAAGGACCAAATGAAGAAAGTCTGTTCACTATAGCTTGTGCTCGTCATCATCAATGTCATGACATTGATTGTTTGATTCATTAAAATATTTTGCTCATCAACTTTAAAACCGACATATATTGTTCAAAATTTCTGGATACATTTTACTACAAACTAGAGCTTAAGGTGCTCATGATGGCCCGTATACATCTAGACATTTAGCCTTGTTGTCAAATCCTCAATCGAAACGGAGCCATATGGTTTGCAAGTTGCAGCTGATTTCAACTCAACTTCAATCTCAGTTTTAATATCATTGTTGCTGCTGGAAAAAGGCAGTAACTTGATTGTACACAATGTCCTTGGCATTCAACCCCATGATGAAGTCTGCATGTGCATAGTCTTTTATGTACTGAACAGTCAGCTTGCCCACATCATGAAGCTTAAGAATATCAAGTAAAAGCTCCACGTCCCGAATATCAGAGAGCGAGTCTCGGCCGCCATAGCTGAGGAACAGAGGAAGGTTATGGGGAATGTTGGAGAGGTTATAAATTGGAGGGCTAAATTTCCCATAATGCATCAAATTGAAGTCTGGTCTCCCGTAGTTGTATTTTGCCAACACCCCATCTCGCACAGCTGCAAGTTAATTTATGTCACAATTAGTTTAAACAAGTAGTTTAATTGGCACCATTACTTTAAACAGATGGGGTTTAAGTTGGATAAAGGAACTTACTTTGAGCCAAGTGCACCAAGTTCCTGGTGGATGTTGACTGAGGCTCATTCTTCAGGAAGAGATCAACAGTGGAAGAATTGAGGCAGCAGTTTTTTCCTTAAATCAGATAAATTTACTGAAGTAGTTAATAGCTTAGCTGCAAGATAATTAATAATTAGAGATAATGAGAAGTTGTTAATTATACCAGTAACTGCTTCTAGTAAGTCATAGCAGTCAACCCCTGGATAAGCACACAGAGCATTGAGAAATTGGGCCACAGGCTCCCTGCAATTAAGAGAAACCTCAAATTACACCAAGTTAAAATCCTAATGCTGTGAGATGAAGAGGTGTTTAACATTTATTTCTTGGTGGATTCTTACCCTTTTGGATTGAACTCGGCAAGACCGAGTAGCGTAGTGATCTGTTGGCAAAATCATAAGCTTAATTAGAGTTTGTTTGGGACTGCTTCTATCGACGACATATCTTAAATTGTATAAGAAATTATTGATTGACAACTGAATGAATTTGTACCTCGCCAACAAAGGCCTTTGCAGCAGCCACCCCAAGTGCAGTGTTCATGTGGCTCAAATAAGCAATGGGGCTCAACAAGGCTGCCGACTTCATCTGGTCCACCAGTTTCCCATCTGACAACGATGCCAATGCAAACAAAGTACCCTGCCAAATTCACATGGTTTCTTCAACAAGTTGCATTGCATGTCCTTGATTTGAAATTCAATTAACCAAGATATGTGCATTTTCCATCACACAAAAAACCTGAAAAATTTCAAATACATTGATCCTCACCAGTGAATGGCCCACGTAATTAACCTTCTGTCCTGTTTTGCTATACACGAAATCAAAAACAGCTGGTAGGTCAAAGGCCACCAGTTCATCCCAAGACCAATTCCAAAATTTCTGACATGTTTCAAATCACAACTCATTAAGCAACAAGCACACACTACTAAGAAACAGAGATAGCTGAAGTGAGAGAGTATATAGTGTAAGAACCGGATCGGAGGGGTCCATGGAAGTATGTCGTCGGCTAAACCTGGTCCCTCTGGTGTTAGCAATCCACACATCAAACCCATTATCAGCCAAAATCAACGGTAGATTTCTATCCGGAGAATTTAAGAGCCAGGTGACTCCATCCTGCACCCACATACACAATATAGAAACCCCTCAATTATCGTCAGTACCAAGATCCGTGTCTTGAATTTTGCACCCATGGAATTATGCCTGAGGCGGTGCATCATTTTTTTGGACAGTTTCTGATAGGGTTCTTTTTGCCTCATCAGAATCAGAAGCAGAAGCAGAGTCTCTGAACCACTTCTTGAAAACTTAAATCCGATTTTTGTTTTGTGTGCACACAAAAACAATTACTTGTTATTTGTTATTTTTAATTAAGTGGACATGTTTTGTTCAACAATCTGAACAAATTCGTACGTCTAATCTGAATAGCATGAAATCTGCTCTGTTTTCCTCTGTTTCTTTCTTCTTCTCATTGACTTTATAGGCAAACATGGACCCTCTGTTTTGGATCTGCAGCCATTTCCAGGGGCGTAATTCTAGCATCCACTTTTATAAAGATATTGCTTTTCAATTTGTTATTAAAT